TGCTGGTAATCAAAACGCAACAACTAGGCGTACCATACGTATAAACATTTATTATATCATCGAATGTTGAGATTCGTTTCCTTAATTTTGAAACTAAATCTGAATTAATTATTAATTACAATTAACAATTAATAGGTAATCCCAAAGGATAACGCGAACTTATAACGCATTACAGATAAATCGAAAATTTTGAATAAACCTTAAATAAATAAATCCGAAATTATATATTTTTTTTCATTATTTTCATACTATACTAATCATATACTTACAAGTGGAAACCAATTTTCAATTTCTAAAATGATAAATACCAAATATATATAAATATCAAAATCATTAGATCACTACATACAACTCCGAAAGACATTAAAAATTAAACAATATTTGCAAGTCTATTATATACTATTTAAACTTCCTACATGCATACAGTACATTTAAATTTGTTTATGCAAACTAAATAAGTGATTTGATACTGTGTAAATATTTTTGGGGAAGTTTTGCCAAAGTTTCTTTTAACATTTACCACGACAATACTCGGAAAAGAACGTGTCAGAACGTTCCATCATGCTCCAGACGCTGACGCTCTTACATTCCACGCGCTGTAAAGGTCATTGTACATGGCGCGCGGAACGTGGATAGGCATTCCACGCGCCTTCCGCCACCGTGAACCAAGTCAAAGAAACTGCATGGACAGATCTTTCCACTTCAGGCAGCGCTGACGCTGTTATACAAAGCGCGGATCGGTAATTCCACGCGCTAGTTAAACGTCATGATACATAGCGCGTGGAACGATGATAGGGATTCCACGCGCCCTCCACTGCCGTGAAACGAAGTCAAAGAAACTGCTTGGATGAGTCTGTCCGCTCCAGGCCGCGCTGACGCTCTTACATACAGCGTGGATCGGCTATCCCACGCGCTTTAAAGGTCATCGTACATGGCGCATGGAAAGTCGATAGGCATTCCACGCGCCTTCCGCCGCCGTGAATCAAGCCAAAGAAACTTCTAGGGCAAGCCTTTGCCGCGCTGACGCTCTTACATGAAGTGTAGACCGGCAATTCCAGACGCTTTCTAAAGGTCATGTTACCTAGCGCATGGAACGTGGACAGACACTCCACGCGCCCTCCGCCGCCTTGAAACGAAGTCAAAGAAACTGCTAGGACGAGTCTTTCCGCTCCAAGCCGCGCTAACGCTCTTATATAAAGGGTGGATCGGCAATTCCATGTGCCTACTAAAGGTCAAGATAGATAGCGCGTGGAACGTCTCCACTGCCGTGAAACGAAGTCAAAGAAACTGCTAGGATAAGTCTGTCCGCTCCAGGCCGCGCTGACGCTCTTACATAAAGCGTGGATCAACAATTTCACGCACTTGCTAAAGGTCGTGTTGCATGCCGCGTGGAAGGTGGATAGGCACTCCACGCGCACTCCTCAGTCGTGAAATGAAGTCAAAGAATGTAGTAGGACGAGTCTGTTCGCTCCAGGCCGCCGCGCCGAACCTGTACACGTAGCGTGGATTAGCAATTCGTGAGGTAGCGTGAACAGTACACGCCACGCATGGATTGCCGCTCCATGCACCATGTAACATGACCTTAAAACATAGAGTAACTACTGTCTTTGCATCCAACGACCGATTCAAACTTTTATTGCAAGGTTGTTTCAGTTTAAAAACATATTTGTGTTGCGAAAAATTTTGCAAATTTTGTTTAGGCTTTTAGCCACAATAACATTGTTCCACTGTTATTGATAATGAAATGAGGTACATAAATAATAACGTACGTCATTAAATTGATCGTAAAAATTTCGTTGCCCTCCGTTCATTTTTATTTTTAAGCGCATTTTTATGCAGATTTCTCTTATAAAATATGGCTGATTTATACAAGAGCTTCGACGTAATCCGACGACCTTACAATTTTGATGATGATGATGGCATCTAAGCACGTTTAAAATTATACGGAACTTATTTCCATATCATTGAAATATTTCATAGACTGCTGCATTCTACCAGTTTACTACTGGATAGAAATATTAAATACTACCATCCGCGGTAATACCAACGGATAATTTCTTTTATAGCTTCTAATTCCGTAAAATTACTCTAAAAACGGTTTTCAAAGACTGCGGATGAATGAAATAGGTACTTAATGTTATTTAATTTTATTTTTAACATAAATTCGTACAGCGGATGTTTATTTGCAGGAAAAAGTCACAGATGTCCAGTTTGTTACTCAAAAAGTTTAAGTATAGGCAAAACATAATCGTTTTAATGTCCTTAATTAGAAAATTAAAATTAAAGTAAACCGTCACCAGTTTATTCAATCGAACTCGATAATGTTGTTTAGATAGATGTCACTAATATCAAGTCCCTGAGTAATCTTAATAAATAATGACGTCTTGAAAACTGACTATTTGGATATAATATAAAATTACGATATTAAACGAAGATCGACATACATATCACTTAAAATGTACAGAAACTTCTTCATGATAAATTATTTTGAAAGAGTGCAGAAAATAAAAGCTGTATGTATTGTATTAAAGACAGGATAACTGTACGGATAGATATATAGGGGTAAAATATTAGTATGCCTAGATTTGTAGACGATGTAGCAGTATTAATATCAAGAAAGGAGAAGTCAGAGATAAACCTTAAACTAAATAGGAACGGTATTGACAAAACAGTATTGTGTGAAATTAAATAAAAGTAAAACAAAAATACTGGTATGTGAGGAAAGAAAAAGTAGGGAAAGAGGGGAATATAAAAATAGGAATTTGAAAATTCGAAAAGGATTCTCAAGTCGTATGTCTGGAGCGTGGCGCTGTACGGGTGCGAGATATGGACAAAGGCCGGGACGGAAAGGAAAAGATTAGAAACTTTCTAAATGTGGTGTTACAGGTGAATCATGAGGATACCATGGATAGAGAAGGTTAGAAATGAAGAGGTATTAGAAAAAAAAGCAGAACAGAGGACTCTGTGGAGGTCAATTAGAAATAGTAGAGATAGATTGCTAGGACACCTTCTTAGGCATGAAGGGCTAGTTAGAGACATATTAGAAAAAGAATTAACAAGAGCAGAGGTAGACATAGATTACATTACTGTTCGCACATAGTTAAGAATGTGGGATGCTCTAGTTTAGGGAAAATGTGAAGATTAGCTCAGGATAGGTAAGAGTGGAGGCGCGTGTCCAACCAGTTTTAGGACTGATAACCTAAAGATGATGAGGTATTGCAAAACTTATCTAGTAAGCTACATATAGCTACAAAACAATTTTCACTCCAATAAGCATACATGTAAAACCTTAAAATACATAATCCTTATTATAAAAACCGATTCATTTTCTTTAACAGGGGATTTCGATAATTGTCTCCCTTTTCTTTTTCAGAATCTCTCGCTTTTATACAGAAAGTCGGTCATTTTCTGTAGATAAATTTAATAATACTAAAAAATTATCTACACGAGGCTTGTCAGTGAGAAACTCAAAATATAAAAATTGTGAATTTACCTATATCAGAATTAACAACCTTATCTTTAAAATAGCGCATGGAACGTGGACAGACACTCCACGCGCCCTCCGCCGCCTTGAAACGAAGTCAAAGAAAGTGCTAGGACGAGTCTTTCCGCTCCAGGCCGCGCTGACGCTCTTATATAAAGGGTGGATCGGCAATTCCATGCGCCTACTAAAGGTCAAGATACATAGCGCGTGGAACGTTAAGGCGATTCCGCGCGCCCTCCACTGCCGTGAAACGAAGTCAAAGAAACTGCTAGGATAAGTCTGTCCGCTCCAGGCCGCGCTGACGCTCTTACATAAAGCGTGGATCAACAATTTCACGCACTTGCTAAAGGTCGTGTTACATGCCGCGTGGAACGTGGATAGGCACTCCACGCGCACTCCTCAGTCGTGAAATGAAGTCAAAGAATGTAGTAGGACGAGTCTGTTCGCTCCAGGCCGCCGCGCCGAACCTGTACACGTAGCGTGGATTAGCAATTCGTGAGGTAGCGTGAACAGTACACGCCACGCATGGATTGCCGCTCCATGCACCATGTAACATGACCTTAAAACATAGAGTAACTACTGTCTTTGCATCCAACGACCGATTCAAACTTTTATTGCAAGGTTGTTTCAGTTTAAAAACATATTTGTGTTGCGAAAAATTTTGCAAATTTTGTTTAGGCTTTTAGCCACAATAACATTGTTCCACTGTTATTGATAATGAAATGAGGTACATAAATAATAACGTACGTCATTAAATTGATCGTAAAAATTTCGTTGCCCTCCGTTCATTTTTATTTTTAAGCGCATTTTTATGCAGATTTCTCTTATAAAATATGGCTGATTTATACAAGAGCTTCGACGTAATCCGACGACCTTACAATTTTGATGATGATGATGGCATCTAAGCACGTTTAAAATTATACGGAACTTATTTCCATATCATTGAAATATTTCATAGACTGCTGCATTCTACCAGTTTACTACTGGATAGAAATATTAAATACTACCATCCGCGGTNAAAAAAAGCTAACGCGCCTTGGCAATACTTCAATTGTGGTGTGGAAATTTGCTTTAATAAAATTACAATTATCGAGATGAAATTCATGTAGGTACCTAACAATGTTTACACCTAATCTTTTGTCTTTTCTATTTTGTTCTTAATACCTACATGTTGAAGTGTATTTTAAATAACGTCACATACTATCAGTGATGAACAAATGTTAGTTATTTAATAATTCAATTCATTTTTATCGTAATGGGTGTCTAAAAATCATGTGTAACGACGTGTAGTAATAACAAGTAAGACTCGCAGAATAGGACTCTCACATCGAAGCAATGCGCTGTTGCCAAATTTCTCAGCATGGCTTGTATTAGACGGCTGTGGAAAAAGGATATTCACAGATAATTCACTTGCATATTATCAAATTGTATCAATCATATACGATGAAGAACATATTTTCGTTAGTTTGACCAACTTCACTCAGATTGCGCTCGTAAATGTAAAAATCCAGCTTACCATTTTCAGCGTTTCTTCGGGTCGCAACAAGTAGAACATCGACTGCAAGTGTTTCTGGATGTTGCTGCCTTGAGCCTCCGATTGTCTGCTGGACTTGTGCGCCTCCGCCGGAAGCACCAGAGCGGTGCCCTTGCCCGCAAAGTAACATTCACTGAGGCTGCAAGAAGACAAGGATGTTTTAAGTACTTTACTGAGCACTTGGTGAAATATTATCAGTAATAAATTTATTATATATATTAAGAATGTGGGATGCTCTAGTTTAGGGAAAATGTGAAGATTAGCTCAGGATAGGTA